GCCACGCCTCACACTGCTAGAGAGACCATGGCGCTTCTTCGTGATTTGTTCCCTAACAAATTGATAAGCCGTTTTGCTGACATCCCCTGGCCACCCAGGTCGCCGGATCTTACCCCCATGGACTTTTTTCTGTGGGGGTACCTCAAAAGTAAAGTTTATGAAACCGCCCCACCGACCATCTCAGCATTAAAAGAAAATATCGTTCGCGAGGTTAATGGCATCCCGACGTCCCTTCTCCAGCGAGTGGCGCGCAATACTGAAGCCAGATTCCAAGAGTGTGTCCGACGTGATGGTCAACATTTAGACGAAATAATTTTTAAGAAATAAAACCCGCACTTCCCTTCTTTGTTATAGTCATTGAAATAAAAAAAAATATTTTGCAGTTTTTTTATTATTTAATTTTGAAATCCTAATTCTGCCACCGGACACCCGGTATTAGAGAATTGTACTTCATGGTGAAAACGTAGGTTATTTTTGAAGTGAAAACTTCTTTAGCATCGTTGTGATCTGAAAGTCTATAAAATGAAAAGGCGACAGTAAAAAGAGACAGACACATTAAATTCATAAGATTTAACGTTGGAGAAAATGAGATAGGCATATAGCTCAATGCCCGCGAGAAAAAAGTCGTAAACGCCGCCAAAACAGCGTCGCTTACGCGTTTTGTTCACCAAGGTACGAAAGTGTCGTGTGCTCGTGTGCCTATGGAATAAACAAGCAGTGAAGAACGGCCAAACCTCAAATTCGTAATAGGTAAAATTAATATAAATCTTTTTGTAATTAGTGAGTACTACATAAGGTATATCGAAAAGAGTATAAACATTCAAATATCATGATTGACCGACTAGTTTTAAATTCGACTAAAGTCCTTAATTATGAGTTCGCGATACCGCAGCATAACTAGCCTTAGACCATTCAACCCTAAGTAACTACCCCATGATTAAGGAGTCCTGTTAAATTAGAAACAAATTCGCCAATCGCCCAAAATCGCCCATAAAATGTATGTGAGCAAATTCTAGTGATTTTGGCTCTCCGCTAGCTAAACTCAAGATATTGGTTCAAGAATATTTAAAAAATCTTGTAAACATTTGTTCAAGATAGAAAGCTAGACTTAAATATAAACTAAGCATAAAAATTTCGTGAAATATTTCTAAAGCAAGAGCCGAAAAGGGTCAACGAGGCCATACAAATAATGGACAAGAAAGACAAACAAGAAATTGCTAAATATGTTGTAAATTTAACTAGAACATTGAAATATTACCCAGCATTCACTTTCTCAACGATAATTTAAAAGTATTTTGATTTTTACTACAGTAGGCCTTCAGCTGCATATAAGTTGCCTTTTTTACTTTTTGACTAATTTAACTTTTGATTTTATTAACTAAATGAATCTTTATTGATCTCAGTATTGTATTTAAAACTTAGAAAGAAGAGAGAACCAAACTTAAATTAAACATTTAATTTTGAGTACGATTTTTTTTAATATTCAACGCTCTCTATACAAATTTAGTATGGTGATTGACATTTACTCGAATGTGACAACCCTAACAGTTTTAAATGTATGTATGGAAAAGTGCGAAAATAGCTAGTGAACATTGCCTACTCATTTTTCTGTTAAAGTTTGAACACTATTAATAAAGTTTTGAAACCAACGCCAAGATATCTTACATCTAGGTAGTGATGCTTGAAATAAGCCAGTCAGTTAATTTTTATTTTCAAATTCACTCTCAACGTATTTTACGGTGATTTATTTATACCCTGTAGCTCATAGAGTAGAGTAATATATACAGAAATGCTGTAGCTACTCGAGCGCTGTTGTGGAGAGTTTTTGAACTGTTATTTACTGCTTACAGATGGACACATTTTCAACCATTCTCCTACGGGAGTTGGTACTCCTTACTTCTTTCTACACTCCATATTTTATTTAAAACGCAACTTCTCAAATAAAATGACATTGTTTAACAAATAACTTAACTTCAGTCCCAACTAGCGACATCTGGTGAGCGGGGGAATATAAGCCCTTAATATATTGTATTTGCAGAAATAACTTCCATCTCCCGATAGATAGCAGTGTAACTACGTTGCCTGCACAAGGCATAAAATAACGATTCACGAGAAGCGGCGGCAAAGATACCGAGACACAGATGTAGTCCTGGGATCCTCCATCCACCTGCCGAGCTAACGGTTAAGGCAAACCCTGCCTACAACAGGGAGATACACATATCCAGCCGCGGACTCACGAGCTGATAAAAAGACGAACTTTAAAAAAATACTGACACATTGACAAACACAATAATTAACAGCTTTTCAAATTTGCATATTAAATTCACATAAAATATAACAATCCATTACTAAAATGCATAAATAGTATTCGTTCTTTTCTGTCATAAGTACTCTAATTTATAAGAAAAATAGTCATAATTCTATAAACGGAAAGTTTTTTATTGAATAAGGGTGACAAACAAGCATACAGTCCACCTGACGGTAAGCGGATGCTGTAGCCCATAGACACCTACATTTTTATCATCAATTAATCAAAATGCAGATGCTCACCTGTAAGAACTAATATGGAATGCCTCATTTCCAGTAAAAAGAGCCTCTGGTTCTCTACTCACCATACAAAACACAGCAGCGTTAAGCTGGTGTCTTACGTTGGTATTGTGAGAGAGTGGCCCTTCCCCGTTCCAGCCGACCTATTCATGGTGCAACCATAATATAGCTGCACTGTGGCTCTACCACATATAATTGTCAATTAATTATAAAATTTCATTGGTACTGTTAGAAATTGAACATGATTTAATTTATTATTTAAAGTATATTCAAGTTCAAATCCCAATGCAATATTTGTGAAAAAACAAAGCTATCATTTTGCAAATGTTCATGGGTGGTGGTGATCACCTACCATCAGAGGAGCCGTATACTTGTTTACCTCTTCTTCAAAAATATAAAACTGTCCCGATTTATCCAGTGTCTGACCTGTCTCAGATCTAGATATTATCATTAGAAACTATCTTTATTATCCTTTCTCCCCTCATTTTTTATTAGGTCTAGGTCACAGTTTTTTTTGTAAATATCTGCTGGTACATAATAAGGCTGGATTAAAAAGTATTATTTCTTGTTATGTAAATGTTGTTGCGTGGCTTTTTTAATTAAAGAAGTACATACATCTACTATACTCTATACTTGAAAAATAGCCAAATATGCATTACATATTCTTGACAGACAACTTCCTATACTGATCAGGATAAGTATAAATTATTACTATTGATGTAATTTGTGACATGATTACAGAACGGCGAAATAGGTAAATGAAAGTCACCGTTATCCAAATCGTTTATTCAAGCAAATGAACATAATATGAACAAACTATAACATTAAATTTATCTACTTAATGATATTTACAATCCATACCTCACTTACCTTTATTAACCTAGCAACTATATATACTTACACTACAATATGCAAAATGCAGAATAAATTTTAAAAAATATATGACGCGAAATGACCAAAAATATATGACACATACTAACCAAAAATAACTCAAAAATATTCTGCATTTTTCCTTAGTATATCAGTTACTTCTTACAGTAGTTGAAGTTATGTTATCAATAAAAAACTTCATATGTGCCTCAGTTACAAACCAAATTACACATATTGGGAAATTTAACAATTATAAATTTGGGCTGGATGGCGCATATTCTTCCTGATCAAGTCGAAAAATAAGAGAAAATGGCCTTGGGACGTTTCTACATTGTTTGAGCAAGTCAAATGCATGGTAATTAGAATTGTTAATCAAAAATAATATCTTTGGACTATTGTTTCTACAAGTTCGGGTCAAATATATTGTTGGTATATTACATTACAATACTCAGGCCAGTAGGGATCCATTATTGGAAATAGCCTCAGATATAGAAGTCTTAGTGAATTCCAAATGGAATGATGTCACATAAGAACTACAAGCATTCAAAAACAACACATCAACATTAACAGTGGCTTGTCATATAAAACTTAAATAGTGCATATTTAATTATTATGTGATTTAACTAAAAACTACAGAACCATAATTTTAATGGCTACACACACCAGTTGACCAGAACACTTTGTGCCTGGCACTCTAGCAGCCAGTTGAAACTAGAGAACTGTTAAATATATTACTTTAATGCACAACACACAATTGTCTGTTAGAATATTTTGTTTAACTCATGCCTGCAACAATACAGATCTCTTAATGATTTAGGAAGACTATTTACTACGAGGCAACAAATAAAATTGTAATTGGTAATATATAAAGAAATTAAATAACTTACACAATCATAGATCATGGAGACAGTTACATTAGGTCCTAGGCATAATAATTGTGTTTACAGCTACTTAATTTTCACAATTGCTATAAAAATATACTTAATCAGAAATAAATCTAATAAGGCATAAAAAATTATAAACCTCTAATTGAATAATTTTTATAATATCTAATAAGAATTTCCAAAAAAATATTTTAACTTTCTTTTACTGCATTCAGTTCAATTTAACACATCTAAGCATATTTGTAGAACTGCATGGCAGGCACTTCTTAAGTCTGTTGCAACTAGATCATGAAGGTGCTAAAACATTTTTGGCATCACTCAGAATTAGAATAAAATCAAAAGTTCTCCTTCATAATTGCAACAAAGTGATGGACTATCATGAGTTTAAGTTCATCATGGGTTTAGAACCAATTGTATATCTAGGACATTAACAATAAAAATTAATGTTTTGAGTAAAATTTTTGGTTGACCTTCTAAACAGACTCATATAACATGCTAAAATTCATAGAATTAAAATGTAGTAGGTCCAAATTTAAATATACAGTTCCATGTTGCAACATACAATCTACAAATTTCTTTCCACAACGCTTACCACTCACTCAGGCTCGACGGAACTCTCAGATTTTGAGTTGTCCCAGCTATAGACACTCGAAGTACTTTCGACAGTTTAGCGGACGAAGCCGCCTGCCGCGCGCGGCCTCACTGTGGTTGGCCTGGCTGCGTCGCCTGACCCGCCGACTTAGTAATCACAATTGTCTGTTTGCCACCAACACTAGACTTACCCAGCTGCAGCATATTAGAAGGCAGTGTAATGATTTTATTACCACCCATGGTGTTTGCAGATACCAATTTCACAATAGTAGCGCCTGGAGCTATGCCCTGTGCCTGCGCCGCGCTTACTGACACAGCAGGTCTATTCTGCATCATTGCCATTTTAGGCATTGTTGCTACTGTCATTCCTGTCGACGTCTTTACAAGGGTAACATACTGAGGTGTGGAGGTTGCTTGTGAGCCAGCTCCGGGTGTCTTCTTGATAATAACAGGGATGCCTGCATTACTTCCAGCTTGTCTGAGGACTGTAGCCCCCGTAGCTGCCCCCGCACTTGTAGCCGTTGTTACCTGCTCACTTGATTTAGCTGTAACTATCTTGTACACTGGTGCTTTAACTTGCTGCCCTCCGAGTGCACTTCCTGCTATTTGTATAGTTCCACCCCCACTGCCAATAACAGGTAAGTTACCTGCCCCTAACTTAACAGGGACACCTGCTGCAACTTTTGCCTGTAGATTTGCAACTCCTGCTTGAATTGGTACCCCCCCAGCAGTTTTTACAAGTACATTGCTCGTGCCGATTTTAACATTGCCAGCTCCAAGTTTCAGGGGCATATTAGTTGTTGCAACTTGACCAACCTTTTGAATGCTATTCGTTGCAATCTTGCCTTGGATGTTAGCAGCTCCAATCTTGAGAGGCACGGCATTACCAGCTAATTTTACAGGAACATTACCAGCACTTAGTTTCACCGGTACTCCTGTACTTGTTCCTGTTTTGACCTGAACAAACCTTGGCGTTCCTGAACCGGTAGTAGCCCCTAGTACAATCTGTGCATTGGACTGTGCAGTTGACACCCTCACTGTGCTAGGAGTTCCAACTCCACTTACAATTCTCGTGACTCCCTGTGGTGTAACAGACGCCACTTTGATTTGTTGTGACGAACCTGGTGCTGGTTTTACAACAGTTTTTCCTTGGTATGAGGCCTGTTTAAGAGTAGGTGTGTTCGGAGATATCTTGACAGTAGCTGATTGTGTGGGAACTTTAATTGAACTTGAAACAATCTTTTGAGGAGTAGACGCAGCTACAGGTGCAGGTGCAGGAGAAGCAGCTGCTACAACAGGCCGAACTGGTAATTCTGCAGGAGTTGGTGGCAAACCAGTTGTTATTGGTGAAGTCAATCCAAATGCTTTTGTAGCATCTGCTTGTGAAGCAACAGGAGAAGCAGGAGGTGGAGCCGCTACAGGTTCTGCTGCAGCTGGAAACCGTGCAGGTGTCACCTTACCACATTTTTGTACTTGTAGAAGATATGTAGTTACAGTGCTCATGCCTGGCCAGCACAGCTCTAGAGATGTGGTCCCTGCTCGTACGAGGGCCACTCGGCCTGCTTGTGGAGGCACCCCTACTTCAAGATACCAGAGATCTTTACAACAGATCTGATTATTCCATGTTTTCCTATATCCATCTCTGCCAGACCATATGTAAAGTCTTGTCTGTATAGCCACTGCACTATGACCCGCTCTTGCTCTTGGTACACATTCTTCAAATTTATCTAGAGCTATATTATCCCATGTCATGGTTTCTAAGTTAAGGGAGGCAAGTGTGTTTGTACATTTCCATTCTTTTTCATGAGTGGCAAGTTTTGACTCATCAGGAACAAGAGGGACCCAACCACCATAAACATACATATGATGACCAATAACCGTGGCTGTGTGTAGCGACCGGGGAAGAGGAGCCGGACCTCCTAACTCAGGTCGCGACCATGACATACTGTCTACATCCAGTACCCACAAGTCTCCAAGTCGCGAGCCACTCATGCCACCATAAATGATGAGAGATGACTTCCCAGAACTTTTATCAGTATATGCAACTCCACTATGGGATTCCCGCGGCGGTGGAGACTGGCCATATGTCAGTGGTATATCCCAAACTGTCATTGAAGAACTTGGATACAACTCAAGAGTATATAAATCATTTAGATATCTTGGAATATTATTTTTGGGATCATCACTTTCATTAGCTAGACCACCAAATAAGTAAACTTTCCCATTCAATAAGGTAAAACTATGACCGAGTCTGGGGCAGGGTGGTAGACCCTGCTTCGGTGGAAGAGGTTTTAAACGTTTCCATTCCCACCGTGAAGCTTGGAGTTCATAAAGATCGTTAGAATACTTGCCGTACTCCACCATGCCGCCAAAAACCAGAAGTCTCGTTCCGTCGACGACAAAACCATACGCGGCGCATCCCGGAGGCACCTCGCCTTTTGTAACAGGAACGAACCATTGATTTGTTGAGGTGTTGAAGACATGAAGCTCATGAACAATCCCTTCATTTCCGCCGCCGAAAACTATCATCAAATCTTTAATGGCAACTGCGCGATGTCCATGACGAGGTCGGGGTTGAGGACCGCTGGGGTTGTAAACTTTTTGCCACTTAAGTACAGCGTTTTCCTTCATTTTTACTATACATTTGTCACTAAAAGTTTTACACCGAATGTATCGCTCGGGATGCGTATCTATAGCATAGACAATGAGAAACGTCGTAAATATGCTTTGAAGAAAATATTCAGGTTAGTAGAAGCTACATAACTATTTCTTATTCCTCTTTCTCTTTCCCACTTATGGTAGACGCCTATGAGTAAAAAAATTTCACCTTATGCGGCTTCTAGTGTATAACAAAAATGGCGTTAGCAACAGCAATGGCAACTTAGCGAGAAGAGAAAGAACGGCGTCGGACGTCAAGAAATTGTCTCTGGTATTTTTTTTAAAACAATACCAGCTTGTATAGCCAGGCCGAAAATATAGTTTTAACTTTTAAAAATACTCTGGATCGAACTAAAAATTGTTTAAGGTTCTTAAATAAATTAATCATTTTTAAAATAATAATTACCTGGATAGTGATCACAGATGAGAAGAGGGCAATGGACACAAACAAATATAAATTGTCAATACTATGGTTTTAGCTATTAAAATAAAAATAAGACTTTATTTTAGTTAGCTCTGACGGGGGTGGACCACGCTCTCATAGAATACCAGCGTTATATTATGCTCGCACTCAGCGTGCTAGATTAGCTTACTTACTTACTCATAAACAGCTAATTTCACAGTCACTACTCACCGACGTCAGCGCCGCTATAAATTCTACAATTTTCAAAGAAAAGGCGGGCTATGCCTTAGTACGTATAATCATAGCGATCGTTCTCCTGTTCCTCCATGGTCTATATATTAAACGTACTCTGTGGTGCTAGATGAAACATAAACTCCCGATCATGGAGTATAGAGGTAAGGAGGACAATCTCCCATAGAAGAATAGTTGAAAATGTGTCCATCCATAAGCAATAACAGTTCAAAAACTCTCCACAAAAGTGCTCGAGTAGCTACAGGGTATGATAAATCACCGTAAAATACGTTGAGTGATTCTGAAAATAAAAATTTTGAAAGCAATAAAATAATTATTGTAAAAAGAATTATGGTGAAAATCTGTGCAATAAAAATATTATAAAAAGTTCTTTAAAATTTAGATTGTAACTACAGTGGCGCCACCCTTATTTAGCGCATTCCTACGGACACTTTTTTATACAGAGTCTGTACTCTTTACCTCTACACTCCGTAGACAAAGAAACCTATAGAAATGATTAGCATGGCCTCGAGTGAGATAAGACGATAACGTAGTTTTAGGTTATACAATAATCTTTATGACTTTTAAACACATTTAGATAAAAAATTTAATTGTTCTAAGAACTGAACTGAACAAGATTCACCAACCGTAAGCTCACAAAACACTTTTTTTCTCACTTAAACCAACTTGTACACTCCTTAGATCGCTACGAACTGTCAAAGTTGTTTAGCAAAGTGTAGTTTTCTAAACAAAAAAAACCGGCACGGAGAAAGGGATAAACAATCACACCCCTTTGTCTCATTTCTATGCAAGATGTATGCAACAAATCTATCTTTTTCGTCTGCGAATGCGAAAGAAGGCGTCAATTTGTCTATATGTTTCTCTGTCTACGCTACACTCCATACTCCCGATTATAGTAGCTTATGCCCCTATTACACTACCCTGAATCGGGGCCCTGGATGAAGGGTGGGCGTGTCCCCTTATTAGGGACCTGAGTTATTACACTAACCTCATTTTATGCCCTTTCTCGGTCATAGGGATGTGAAAAAAGTATATTATATATTTATTGAATCGATATTTTTAAATTTATTACTGGACGTCTTGAAGACGAAAAAAACATGACTATTAATAGTAAAGAACTCTTTTCTTTACTATTGTCGTGTTTAGAAGAAAGCTATGGGTGAAGGACTATTTAAAACTCACTCAAATATGCGGATTATCGGAGTTCTGGAGCCCCATGAATTTCGAATACCTGAGAATAGGGGAAGAAGAGTTCGAGGAGCTATTAAGTTTAGCTCCTTATATCGAAAAACAAAATACGGTTTAAAGAGAGAGTGTAAAGATTATTTGTGACTTTAAGATTTCTAGTGATTTAAGTGCGTGTATTTGTGTGCGTGCTTTGTGTTACAAAGAGAATTAGTTACTACCATAATAATTTGTTATTTAGAATTTTATGACAGCTAAGTTATTTAAGAATATTTGAACTATTAAATAGCTTATTTACCTATATCTTAAAACTAGACTGATGTTGTTTTGTGAAGACTTAAATAAAGCTAATTTTGTTTTTAAACATATGTACATACTAATATTGATTAAAACCAAAAATACACAAGTATATAATACATACTAAACATACCTTTTTACTACCTACTAAGTTTAGTAATGATAGTTGACCCAACCCACTAAAGAGTTAGGTAGAAAAACAAGTTCATAAAAGTAATTTGTAACAAATCATTTACTCTGTTTCGTCCTGCTAACTTGAGTTTAGTTCCAGTTGCATGAATTTCAACTCAAGTGACCTCCAGTCGTAATTTTTCCGAGTAAGCACATCTATAGGACGCAACATCGCTCATTAAAACATGGAAGCTTGTGTTCAATATATTGAATTTTTCGATGTTTTTATCACCATATATATCTTAGCTAAGCTATGAAGCCCGGGAAATAACCCTTTCGTGCCATCCCACATCTCCAACGCATGTAATATATGAAACTCTTATTCTGCTTTAGTTTTATTTCTTATGTTTTGGTGCGTTACTTCTTTATGGTAGTTCCATATTATGTCACCTTCAGTATTATCGCATTTTCTGAATACATCTACTAAACTATGCCGAAATACAAGCAGTTGAATAACCGTTCATCCATCAAAATCAATGTTTCAGAAAAGTGATTGTAACGAAATACGAAGTACCATAATCCGAAAAAAAAAATTCCAATACAAAATGTCTATTAGTCTAAAAAACTGTACTTAAGCTATTAATTAAGTTAAAGCTCAAACAATATAATTATTAATAAAAAATGAATAAAACCATTCCAATCCATTTTCAATATTAATTGTAAACTTATGTTAATTCATTACCACAATAAAAATAAACCACAATTTTACATCAAAAATAAAATAACCGATTGAAGATAATTGCACTTCTTAAGTTCAAGTATATTTGAGTCGAGAGTACAATTTATTTTCGACTGAAAGATCATTCGCCTGTTTGTTGATTCGTAATTAAAATTTTCGGGATTGTGATATTTCTGCTAACCAAACCTTCTAACTTTAAAAATTTAGACACCATCTAACTTTGAGATATAATTTTTTGGTATATTTATTTTTCGGCGATATAAGATTCGTGATAATCATCGTTTGCAACTTTTAACATTCGGCATTTTATACCTTCAAATAGTTGGTTATTTCGAAACCTTTGACGGCAAGTCAAAACATCGTTCATAAAACATCGCTCATGAATAACCATATTTATAAACGATATATTTGAAAGAATTGATGTATCGTTTTCATCCCTAACTACCCTAGGTATTATTACACTACACGGTGGTAAGGGCACTGCAGACAGGGTGCACTTTGTCACCCTAATTAGGGACCCTTACTCCCTTTCTCTTATTACACCACCCTGAATCAGCTCATAGGGAGCCTGATTCAGGGTAGTGTAATAGGGGTATTATCAATGAATATAAATTTACTATAGTAGCGAAACGAAAGCACGCAATATTTTTGTAATGCCACCAGTGTAGTCAAAACGCCAAAAATGGGAATTCTGCTTGTCTTATCTTTAGAACACAAAAAAGAAAAAACATCTGGATGAAAACAATCTTAAAAAACGTGCCCAGTATAAGCAAAGTAATATAATACAAAATTAAAATGTGATTGATTTAATGATTTAACGAAAACCAATAAAAACCGACATTGAAAAGTAGTTAGTCAACCCTTGGTAGATAGATACCTTTTCTATGAGGCCATCAGTTCCTAGTTTATGCAAACTTCTTCTGCTGATAAAAATGACATCAAATAAAAATACCACAACATTGGTATGTAAACATCCTTTGTGGACGACCCTGTGTAAGAGCTGCTTTTGACCTTATATAACTCTCGATTATAACCGTTCCTTAAAACATTTTTTCGGACGCTATCTATTGTTGCAGCTTATTCCAGTATGGGGACCATATAGCATCTAGTAATGCATGTGTTCTTTTTTTACTGACTTTAAAAAGGAGGAGGTACTAAATTCGTCCGTATGTTCTTTTTTATATATGTGTTACCTCATAACATTTGTCGGCATGACCCGATTTCGATGATTCTTTTTTTAATTGAAAGCTGGTGCTTCTCATGTGGCCTTTTTATTCTTAGTAATTTATAATGAAGTCGGTTGTACAAAATTTTAAATTATTGGTTGTTCATGTAATTCGGACCAGAAGTATTCCACAAACATGAATTGAATCGATATTTTTCAATAAATTATGTCATATTTTCGCGATCCAATTTAGATTTTTTTACTTTTGATTTTTGACATTACTTTTTTGTTTAAAATTTACGTGGTAGAGCCATGCTGCAGCTATATTAAAGTTGTAGCAGGAATGGGTCGGCTCGACCGGGACAAGACCAGGCTCTCACAGAATACCAGCGAAAATAGTAGCGTAACGCACCTGTGTTTTGTATGGTGAGCGTAGAAAATCGGAGACCTTTTTACTGGAATCGAGGCATTACATCTTAGTCCTCAGGGATAACAACGCCTTTGAATTTCGGTTCTTAATTGAGGATAAATGTGTATGTCAAAGGGTCACAGCATCCACTTACCATCAGTAGGACTGTGTGCTCTTTATCACCCAATGCTATAAAAATATGTAAATCTTTAGTGAGATACTAAGCTATTTTTATTAGTAATATAATAATGATAAAACGTAACAAAATGTTTTATTTCTTTCATTTACCATGCATTGTTTACTATATAACATTACAAATCTGCTGAACAGTGCCAGTATCACACGACCTAGCATGCTCGATGCACTACAGCTTTACCGTACTTCGAGCCTATTCACTATCCATCAGCACGAC